TCTGGCCCATCTCGGCGGTTACTAATTGAATTGGTTCGTTATAGTCGGCGTAAATCTCGCCAAATTCCAGGAGCCGGATTTGGACTATGTACCACCGCAATCCGCTGCCTGGAAGAAGGCGTTAGCAGCGGTGGATACCGATTCTCGCCGCATAACCTCGAACCCCGTCGGGAACAAGCTCCGCGGTTATCAATTCCCGGACCCCTTTCTCTTTATCACCGGCGCAAACCATAGAAGCATGATACTGGCTTGGCTGATGATGCAAGCTCAGTGGCTTCAGTCGCTCATCAACGTCGATACCGCCCTGCATTTGCCTGCGCCCCAGCATTGGCAGAATTATCTCTACGATTTCGCCAAGGAAATGCGCTTGCTCCCTCCGTTACCCTCAACGAGCAAAGTAGCCCATGGTGGGGTGCAAAAAAACAAGGGAAAAGATCGGCTTGTGACAAAGGGGACCAACCGCCGTTCTTCCAAGGCCAAGGAGGTTCAAGCTTCTATTTTCTCCAATGCAGTGTCTCTCGGCTCTCGTCCCAATGTGGTTTATTGGGGGAACGTGGCAGTCATGCAAGGGGAAAACGACGCCGGCCTCACCCCTGACATCATATCACAGGTGATTTGGAACGTGTTTGAACAGAATTTCCGCCACGAGATCCGCCAGCTCGACCGTCATCTCTTGCCTGCTGCCTGGACATCAGTATCTGAAGCCGGCTTGCGCGAGAACCTCATTCGTCGCATTTTCCCTGATGACAGCAACGGTGTTGTCATCTCCACAGATCCACCTTCTCACGTGGGCCTAGCGGCGGATAATTGGCAGGATCGCGTGAAGTACGTGGAAGCTTTACGACGAGTGGTATTGGGTTGGCCGGGGGACGCTTGACATCGTCATCGCGACGTCCCGTCATCGTCATCGTCTAGCGCCTAGCGGGCAGGGGGCCTCCCATCATATATTGTGGCACGCATCAACATCGGAGGTAGGCTCATTGCAATCTGATTGATTCATCGTGCCACGGACTAACATCGGACATAGGGTATTCACATTTTGGGCAATATCTTGTACTCTCCTCTCACGTCATGTTAATTTCGGACATATGTATAATAATAGACCTGTCTTGTGATTGATTGTGTAGGTGAGATAAGACAGTCAATGGTTGGTTTTTGCCTTTCTTCCCTCCCCATCTTTGTCCCTCGTCTAACGGCGCCATGTTCAAACGGAAAGCGGTAAAGTCTCGTGAAGAGCTTCCCAGAAGCTTAGTGGCAGCAGGCACATTCCAAACACGGAGAGTCTATGGCACGGGAGACATGACATCTGAACCCCGGGCCAATGTTTACACTCCCCAGGGCCATTTTGTCCAGCATATAGATTCCTTTCAAGAGGATCAAACTGATACTTTCAAGGCTTTGGCCACTGACATAATTGGTGAAGCTGAAGGGGTAAAACCAGGTAAAAAGGCACGCCAATTTCAGCGATGGGAGGGGGAAATCCTTCCTGCTCTTATGCAACCTTATATTCAACTCCTGAGGGAGACTGACTCTCTGCGAAATATGTTAGAAGTTAGACAGGTGGCTGGTTGTAGTGGTTGTCATGCCGGGAGATCTTTAAAAGTTGCATGTATATTTTTTGAAAGTATGTTAATTTTTTGTTTTGTCTTGGTTGCTCTTTTATTCTTATTGGGCAGGGATTGAGACACTCACTCTGTGCACATGCACATCTCCAGCCCTGCAACTGCTTCAGCGGGGTTTGTTTCCTTGTGCTCCACTTTTGCCCTCTCTTGCAGTTGACCTGAATATGCTTGAGTTTGTCAATGGCCTTTTTGTCAATGCTGCGCCAAATACAACAGCTTGGTGTGAGACCTTGGAGTCATTTCTTGGTAATAGGAGGTACAAGCTATCTACTCGAGTAAGTTCCCAGTTTTTTTATGGATGGTTTCTGATATCTGGTGTCTTTCTTAGAATAACTTGCGCCGGCACTTTGGGGCTGCTATGCAGTGGTATGCTACACTGATTGATAAGAAAAACCACCAGTTGGCCAACTACTTGGATCAATTTAGGCTGCCAGTCACTGATTCTTCAGGTATGATGACACTTTATATATATATATTTTGGGGGGTTTGTTCATCTTATATCTATTTGTATAGATGATGGTAAGTACAAGCCAGGGATTTTCCCTATGGTTAAGCTGAGAGCCACATTTGATAGATGCAGAAATGATCAGTCCAGATAGTGAAAATGCTACTCCAGAGGCTGCATCTGTTCCTGAGACAGATAATGAAGATCAACCGAGTAACTACTTACGCTCCCGTTGCCCACTCTGTTTTGGGGGAAAGGATTGGAAGAAAAAGGATGAACTGTGTGTGATCCTTCTTCTATTTCAAGAGTTGTTACTAAGGTTCCTTTTGGAGTGTCGACTTTATAGTATGTCTAGATGCATGCTTCAAGCAGAAATCAAGAAAGGCTCAAGGCAAGGAACCACCTGCTCCTCGTCAGCATCCTGATACCATTTTTGTCTCCCCAACTGATGTCAAAGCGATGGAAACCACAGTAGAGAATATTCGACCACAAGTTAAACCAAAAGGCAATGAGAAATCTAGGCAACCACCTGTGTCAGAGGCTGCAGATCACTGTGAACCTGGTATAAAAGTACCTAACTCTGTGTTAAACTTGTGTGAAGACTCTTTTACTGCTGCAGATGAAAAGAGAGTTAAAGCTAGTACTCAGTTCTTCTCAGACACAGGTCTAATGGCAATGCTCTGTCGACATGATCGGGTTCTGTGGCTTGCCAATATGACTTCAGCTGGTGAAAAGCAACATTATGCTCTTGTTCTTTTGGAGCGTCTCTTTGATCACTTACCCTCTACTGCACGTGTGGGTGTACTCTATGATATTGGCTGTCAACTTCATCGAAGTTGTGTTAAATGGGGTTTTCTAAAAGACTTTCATGATCGTTTGATATGGGCTATCTCAGTGTTTCATGCTTATGGTCATCAGTGGGCTTGCCAGCTTATTTACCATCCAAGAAAGTGTACTGGTTTTGGATTAACTGATGGTGAAGGCTGTGAAAGATTCTGGAGCTCAATTAAGCTTTTGATTCCGTCACTGCGTGTTAGTGGCTACTACACACGTATCTATACAATTGATACCCAAGTGAAACATCTGGACCGCAAATCTCTCATGGGTCTGGGAGACTGGCTAAGGAGAAAATGGAATGCTGCTATTCTGCGAAGAAATGAGGCTACAGCTGTTTTGGCTGAACTTCAGCAGAAAAATATCACTGAAGATCTCTTGAGAACAAATTGGGCTGCTCAGATGGCTCACCAGACAAAACCAAGTCCCAGGCAAGGAAAAAACTTGGTGGACAAGGTTATTCAAGAGATTTTGGAGCTAAAGGATTCTATGACAGAACTCAAAACAGAGCTATATAAGTTTGAGACAATGATTCAAAAGGGGAAATATGATGATGGCTGGGACGTTTCAGATGTTAGACTGCATCTGGAAGATCTTAAGGAAAAATTTGAGAAGACTGAGAAGTCATTGAAGTCTAAAAGTGCCACATTGGGAGCTGATAGCCGTTTAAATCTTGAACGCTTGCTGGGCAATAAGTTCCTTCGACTCCGGGTCAATGCTTTAGCTGTGAAACAACACTTGAGAAATCGTCTGCAACAGCGCAAATTTGAACTAGATAGTTTAGAGCGAGCATATCGTAAGACAACAACCAATAGTAAGTGACTGAGCCAACTTTTTGAAAAAATGGGGACTTATATTCTTTTTGAAGCCAAAAAACTACAGGAACATTCAGAATCTCAAATAAAGCGCAAAGAACCAGGAATTCAAAAGTTGGCCAAGAAATATAATGATATCTGTGCTGAACTGGAAAAGATGATTAAAAGAAAAGAAAGTCCTCGTGGTGCATGTGCACCACACAGAATAGCCACTGATGGCCTGTTCAAACTAGATGTTGATGATGACATCTGGCAGGATGTTGGTTTAGATGACATGGATCTCTCTTCTGGCAGGGAAATCCCACAATGGCTGGGTGATGAAGGTGTGCGGAAAGGAATTAAATCATTATTGGAGCTGGATCGATGCCAGGAAGAGCTGCGATGATTGTCCTATGAGCGTAGTGCAATGCAAGAATGGTTTGCAGAAGAGTGGAAGTGTGTTATGATGGCTATGCAAAGTGAGCAAGATCAAGATGTTAGGCATCAACTGGAGTTACATGCATATACTTTGCTATGTCTATGCAACATCTGGCAGGATAAAGTATGCTTAGTGATTCCACACAAGACAATGAGTCCATCTTGGGGTCCAAGAGTTGAGGAACTTGCACTGGCCCGAACCTGGGAATCATCTGAAATGACAATGGAGAATGAGATTGATGGTGAAGAAGAGGATGAGAGTGATGATGATGAAGACCAAGAGGATGATGGTGAAGAGCAAGAGTTGCTTGAAGCTGTTGAAATGGTAGCACTTTCGAGGTCTTTACGCTGCCACTGCTTTTCCGAGCGGACTCCGAGCGGACTCCGTCGGACTGAGGGTATGCAGAACAGATATTTTTCTGCTTTGAAATGCAGCAAATTTTCCGGTGAATGTCCGAAGCTTTTCCGAGCATTTTTGGTCGGACTGAAAAGTCCGTCGGACTTTTCCGACGGACTTCCGATGGACTAACAGCAAACTAGCACCCAGTCCACTGGAAATGACGAGCAAGTGCCAACGGAATTCCAGTGGACAAATCCAACAGAAGTCCAACGGAATTCCAACAGACTGTTGTTATTATTATTAATATATAACATAAAAAAAATGGAACATTGGGGAATTGAACACTCAACCTTAGGATCTAAAGCATATGTAACCCAATGCTAAACCAGCTGCACCAAGGAGCCTTTGATATAAGTAAGTACTTTGTACTATACATACCTACTGTTTGACCGCTTTCCTAAA